TTCTCAAGTTTCCATGTAAAATGTGAATTCGCGGTCCTTTCAAACTCTATTAAGTCTTTTATTCTCCTGGCTGGATCTTCATATTTTTGCCGCACTTCCAACACACACGAATGGCGTTGTAACCATTGTAAACTGTATATGTGGACTTTCAACAGGCACGTGATTTGGTGCAGAATTCGTATACAAATATTTTTGGGCCTACTACTAAGGATAAAATGTAGTTTTTTCAAGATATCGAGGGGCACTCAAAGAAATGCACATGAAAAAAACTAGTGATTTTTCTGTAATGTAAGTGGGACAGCCGGTCAGATAGATAGTCATCCAAGGACATACATGCAGAATGCAGAGACTGTGTAACGCGCCTGTATGCATTCCCGTCACACTCGTGCAAATTAAGTTAGAAAAAGCGCTAAATGCTTTCAGCTTTTTCAATTTTCTTAGAAATGATTTTTAACTTTGAGCGGATCGTATGTTCAAGGTCTATAGGCACGGTAGTAAATACCGTGGCCAGTATACAGTTTAGTCAGTATGGTAATTAATAACGCAATAATTTATTTCCATAAATGTGTAGAGTACTGATACCACCACCTGAACGTTCTACGGGCAGCGCATTCTGATACTTCGCACTTTGCTGTGTTAGGTCCATGTCACCCGAATTATTACAAAGGGGCCCTCATAGCCCTTAACATGCTCCCATATATAGCATACAGTTGATAATACAACCTGCGTTTGAGCAGCCTTTGTGAAAAGATTAGTTTTGTCCGCATTCTAATTTACCTCACTTATCGGTTTTGGATTAGATACAGTCCCATCAATGATGGTACCTGCTGTATTCAGGGTTCAGGACCGAAGTAAACCACGTTTAGTTTTTTTGGAACATCTCGGAAAGAGGAATCTACAGAGGAAAATTTATCAAGAAGTGACAGTTCGACCGCAATTGCGGACATTGCCCACTGGTGACTTGCGCGTGATTTAGTTAGTAGTGAAATTACACTTACGCTGTATCTACCACACCCCCTCTTCCTCTACCAACTGGGCCCGGTGTCAATATAGGTTCAAGATCGAAGGTAAGATCAAGTGCAGGTAACAGGCGCAACGTGAATCCGCATCAGAATTTCACCTAATAACGGCGTAGCTGGTGTGGATCCCGATCGAGTTAAGATGGCGGTAAAAGCCACATTAGAAAGGAACCACTGCAACTAGGCCATACATTCTGAGAGGAAGACCCGAATATTCTCGTTAGTGAACGGACGCCCA